GAAGTAATTGGGGTTGGGATTAGCGAATAGAAAGTACGTCATTAATGTCGATTTTGTTGATCAACGTAAAATAACGAAAAGGTTAAATTATTAAAAAGGGAAGACACGGGGCCTCTGAACTACCAGCTGGTTGCTAGTGATTGGTGATCAAGAAAGAACGTCGTAATTATGATGGGATATGATCATAGAAAAAGATCATAATGTCAATTAAGATATAATGGATAGTCTTCCAAATCGTTCAGTTTATGTAGCCTGTTGTAGACCTAAACGGGAAAACATTGCGGTCTCATTTTTTTTCTTGAGAGAAATGTGGCGCCAGGTTTTTCCTGTGAACGGTATCAACATTTATACAATAAAGAGAAAAAAACACGATTTGAAAGTCAAGCGATGCGATTTAACTCGCCATACCCTTGGGCAATACGCTGATTTCTTTTTTCGTTACTGAATGCGAATGCTAGCTGTTTTTTGCCTTTTTTTCTTCTCTCGAATGTACTCCTTTCTCTCTTCTTAAGTATTCAAAATTACAGAGAGCGAGCTGTATAGGTGATTGAGGGGAGGCAGCTGAAGTTAGCGACAAAATTATCGCGGCGCACTTCCTCTTCATCTGTTGCTCGTAGTACGCCACGACCTATGTCTGGGGCTGGTGTGCACGCTCTGCGATCGATTTTGTCCCCTTAGGGCCACCATACATTTCAATTTGAAGGTGTCGCGTCGTTGTCAGACGCGCGGGTACCATCATTAGAGAACCGCTTTATCACCACCATGTTGGGCAGGGGAGCTCGTAACTGAACAAGCCCTCGGTGAAAATATCTCTATTTTTGTCTCCTGTCAATCTTCTATTGTTGCGGACAGTCTACCTCTGTCGGTGTCAAAAGTGGGCAGCGAGCACTCGTGTGTTTTTTCCTCTTTTCGCCCGTAATTTTTCTCTTTTATTCAGATTTGAGAACAGACAAAAGTAATGAGGGGAGAAAAGAAAGTTAAGAAATTTCCTGTTGATTCAAGTCGAAAGGTTCACTCCTCTCCTTACATGACGTAATGCCTTTTCATTTCAGTGTAACTCCGTGACGAACCAGTATTAAAACGGTTTTCTGAGTAGAGATAAGTTTTGTTTTTCTCTCATCTGCTCGTCAGGGAAGTACGAGAGACCTCATTTATCGTAATCCGTTTTTAGTTCTCCATGATCCATCGCCAACTTGAAACGAAATGGATGAGAAGCGAGAATTGCCTTTTAATTCTACTTTCAAAATTACCATGACAACGCAGCTGCTTCAAAAGCACGTGTATTATTAGCATCATAGTGAAGGCGGAATGGGTTGAAATTGGCGCGCGCCGCTTTTCAAAAAAGAAACCATTACGGCAAATAAAGGTTTCAAAAATTTAGCGTTTTAATCATCGTAATTTACACTAATGGCTTAGGGGCTGGCGATGTCGTTGTGGCGATGTCGCTAATGCAAAATGGCGCAAACAGCGGAATCAAAATGGAAACGAGATGACGATGGTTGTTTGGGGGTGTCCACCAGGTCCTGAAGAATACCTAAGTGATTTATCTTGGATGATGTTAATGTCAAATCGTGCTATTTTCTTGAACTTGAGCTGCGCTTCTTAGAGATGCTTTCAAATACTCTCTCGTGTCACGAGCACGTCTCCGAAGAAAGTGATATCCCATTATCACGGCAGTGGTTATCGCATTATGATGACTGTCATGAATAAATTCAATATGGAATGGAAGCTGATTTTATTACCGAGATTTTCCCATTGAAGGTTTAGAAGCTTTCTGACAAATTAAATATCTCTCTTCTACCTCTCCTCTCTATATTCTCCCATTCTCCCCTATTTCACTCTCTCTCTCTCCCTCTCTCCCACTCTCTCTCTCTCTCTCTTTCTTGCTGTCCCCCATTCTCTCTCTCTCTCTCTCTCTCTCTCTGTTTCTCTCCCTTTTCTTGCCTTCTACTTTTGTTTGTCTCCTACCCTAATTTCCTCTCTCTCTTCGTCATGAATGTTTTATATAATATCTTTGACTCTGTCACCATCTCTTTCTGTGTCTCTCTGTCTCTTTCTCTATCTACCTCATTTTTCCTCCATTCCTCTCTTACTCCCTTTTCTAGACTATAGCAGTCAGTAATCACCTTATTGCTTACCGTTCGTAAATGACTACAGGTCCGTTTGTAAACAGTTTATCCTGTGCATTAAGCACGTTAAGTCTATCATATGCACCGTGTTGAGAACCTTAAGCTGTAATTCCCATCCGCTGATCTGGGGCTCCCGCAACTCTGCAGTGATAGAAATAGTGCCTGTACACAAAGCATGAATAATTCAAAAACACTATAATTATTTTGAGAGATATTTTGTGTGCCCCGTTATCACCTCAATCAAAATCCAATACCCAAGGCTTATTGCGCATAATTATAATTAATCACAAGAATAAAAACGTGTTTTTATTCTTCTATCTTGTTCCCTCGATATGGAAATAAACGGCCGAATATAATATCGCGCATCGCACAGGGGAAGGTCGGCGTTGAGGTATATGAAGTCTAGATGCCACATCATCGAATTTTTCTCCTTTTATTTCGAGAAGAGGGGCTATTATCTAAAGAGAGATGCCATTTAATCGATTGGGAACCGATTTGGATTTAGATTGCCATGCGTTTTTTGGATGATAGCTGGGCGACATATCGATCAGATAAGTGACAAAGTGCGCTCACGGACTCCGAACTGATCATCTGATGGGAAGATTCCTCTTCAAAAAAACCTCACCCTTTTCAACTCGTCACCCTTCTTTCTCTATCGCTCCCTCTCCGCTCCACCTCTCCCCTCACTTCTTTTTCCCCTCTCTCTTTCTCTCTCTCTCTTTCTCTCTCTCTCTCTCTCTCTCCCTTTTTCTCTCCCTCTTCTTGAGCGAAAAAAAATTGTAGGAAAACATAAAAGGGAGAGGGGTGAAATTGAACAGATCTAAAAAGTGTGAGAGCTGATGCAGATTTGACCGAGATAACTTATAGAAAGCTGAATGGTGGAGAGTGAGTAATGGATAAGTGCTCATATACCTCATAATAGAGGATAGCAATAGTTCATCTAGGACGAAGAAAAGTCAATCAGATCTGCCTGAGAAGTGTGTGTAATTGGGTATTTACAGACGTGTATACCAATCAGATAATTATTATTATTGACGTCTAGGGACCGACCTTTAACGTCACCATCCGACTCGGTTTCGAACCCGGGTCCGAACAGAATTAGTTTGTAGGCGAAGACAGAGAGCTGACCGCTAGACCAACTCACATCTCTCTCTCTCTAAAAAAAAAAAAAAACTACACTTGTGCTGCGAGCCTGCGACAGGGATTCGAACCCCTTACATTGTGGACTACAACATCACCCTTTCACGCTTGAAAACAAAAGCCTCATACGTTTTAAGTCAAACTCGACGTCTTCAGACATATCAACAACTTCCTTTCCCTTCTGGAAATCAGTCTGTACGACAATTATTATTTCGATAAAGATTTGCAATGAATTTCGACAAAAAATACTGCCAGCTGCTGTTTACCGATTGCTATGCTGTTGTCGACGCATCGTCACAACAGCATTATGGTGCTCGCGTTTATTCTGTCTTTTCATGGTAGCGTTTGATTTGACTATCTCAAAAAATTGGTCTCAACCTTTTTCGGTTCATCCGCCCTTTTGGGGGGACGTGCCGAGCTGAAGTCTCTCGTATCATGCAAAATGTGTCGTTCTGTGATATCTCACTTGAATGTATCACCCATCAACAAAAACAGTACTAAAGCAAGGCTTTTATGTAGCGTAAATGCCCAAGTGTCAAAGGCTTCCTGTTTATAGCTTAAAACACATTTTATCAAGTCAATCCGTTTGTGTTCAGGTCCCTTTCTTTGCCTTGGTTGGTTTCCGTGCGAAGGAAAAAGCAGATTTCGATGTCGAGATATCTATCTGTGAACATCCACCAAAACAGGGGGTGCCAGTGTTTCTGTTTGTTTGGTGTTTATGGATAACTCTTTCATTGAATGGATACAACCGTGATGAAAGGGACACGTTTTAATGTTCCATCTTGTTGCCATCATTCTTGCTTGGATTGGTGGGAAGTTTCGATCGCTTTCATCGGAGTGAAATATGGCATGGTGTTTGGACCAGGTTGTTAGCGGTAGAATAGACGGGGAGGTCGCGGCGTAATAGTGATGAGTAGTCGATGCCGTTCGCACCTTCCCTTTTCAGCTTTTATGTTCGATACTTTTCAGCTAAAATAAACACCTTCTCATTCACTTTTCTCTCTACCATTCTCTATCCATACTCTCTCTCTCTCTCTCCTTTTATTTCACCCCTCTCCCTGGTTTCCCTTTGTATTTCTCTCTGCTTTCTGTTATTTCCCCTACTTGTTTGTAAAAGTAACATTGCCCTTTTCGTCTGTAAGGCACCGCTCAACTCTAAAATGATAAACCATTTAGAAACAATATCGTACTTTTGATCTCTTTGTCTAAGACGATACTAAAATTGTATTTAATTATTAACGGATACGATGTGCAAAAAGAGAGCGTTGAACTTTCTGTTCGCTTGACATTGATGCCAACAAGTACATTGTTGATTTGGCTATGATTTTCGATTCTATGATGTTGTTATTATTTCACAAGAAAGCAAGAAGCTTATACTCTTTAATTATATTTTTTTCTTCAGGTTTGACATCGGTCTGACAGCTTATATCTACTATTATTTTTTGTATCGTCATTTGTATTGAAAAGTAATTAATTGCTTTTTAACATTAATGTATTGTGTTCCCTACCCTTAATACGCCTTTGTTAGAACATTATTTTGTTCTCTGCCGTTCTGCTGTGACAGTAACGGTCCGTCGTATTATATGGCAGCCGACATGTTGTTGTTTTTTCTTCTAATTTGTTATAGATAACAACTCCAGTTCCCTTTCCTCTGCTTATTGTACATATTTGACACAACCATCTTTTGCAATTTATATAAATGTTAATTAAATAATCATCTTCCCTTTCTTCTGTGTCTCCTGCAGAATATTCGGTACAAGTGGAGCATGTACGGCCTGTGGTCAGCAGATCCCGGCCAACGAGCTGGTCATGAGGACCCAGAATCGTGTCTACCACCTCAAGTGCTTTGCCTGTAGCTCGTGTCACATACAGCTCGTCCCGGGTGATCGTTACACGGTAGTCAACGGCAGCATCGTCTGCGAGAACGACCACAGCAAACTCTACAAGTCGGCGGCGCATCATGGCATGACCCCCGGACACGCCCCGGGCCTGAGACCGGGTAACAGAGTAAGCATTGCACGTCGATGACGCCCAGGGACCCATTTCACAAAACTTGTCATCAGTGACAAATGACAGTTGTTGTTATAAGCTAGTGAAATCCTTGCTTCTGATTGGTTAACGGCAGATTTGTCACTGATATTTGTCATTTGTCATTCAAAAAAGGCTTTGTGAAACGGGTCCCTGATATCACGTTTTAAAATGTATCCAAATCTGTATTGTGCCCTCCTCATGAGTGATTTATACAATTTTCCTACAATTTCTTGTTTCTCTCTACTTTTGAGAGCTACCAAATTGAGGTTGACGGTTGTGAACAGAGGAGAACAAAATTTATGAGAAACCGATTAGAAAAAGGTGCGGTTGACGATCAAAGTGGCATACATCTTAGTACCAATGTGAGTGAGTTGTTTGAAACCAGAGAAGTGGCATAATGAATATGGATACATTTTATAATGTGATCAATAAATTTTATTGCTGTTATTTTCTACTGCAAAGGCATAATAATTATCATAATATAATGTATAGTGTATTCCGGTAAGTAATTATTATGGCATAACCATATTCTATTACTGTTATTTCCTACTGCTGCTGAGACATTTCCTGTGGGTAATTGTGGCATAAACACATATGAAGGTTCGAGTCAATCTAGATACGTGTTCAGCTCAGTCGTTATGAATGTATAATGTCCTAAACTCGGGGTAGGGATAGGATTGTTTGGGTTTTTAAAAACTTGACCTGTCTCCAATGAATGTCTACTGAATTACGAATGCAACGCTCACCTATGCGATTTGTAACTTCAATGACAGGACTGTTTTTCGTTGGGAATCTTTGTATAATTTGCATAGGAAATAGCGCTGATACAGAAAACTGTCATTGGGTGGGATGATCATAACTCCTTCCACCAACCTTTAAATTGAGTAGGTAAGCGTTCATCCATTCCTATGGACTTTCTCAACCCGAACGACTCTTCATAAAGGAAATATCGCACATAGACGACTTACTCCTGAGCTTCAGACCAGTGCACTTAACTGCTTAACGATAGTTAGGAGAAGATGGGGGTTGATAGACATTTATGCTAATTATATTTTCATGGCTGAATATAAAGTGAAGTCATGATGTGTATTACTATAATAAAGACACGACTGATGACTTTCTTAATCGCTTCATTTCCCGCTCATCATAATTGCCAACACAATCCCCCCAAAAACATCGAACCACTTTCACTGAGGAAACAAAATGAGGAAGAGGTATTCCCCGTGGCGGTTTGAGTTCATAAGGCTTGTAGCTGTCAGCCGAGTCTCCCCGAGGCATAACCATTACAACCCCGCTGCCAATCTCCCGCGCAAATCCTCCATCAGCCGTATATACACTCCGAGCGAGCTATATCCCTCCCGCGTTTTCTGAAGACGGGTACTTCTCCCCCGAATACAGATGGAAATGGGCTTGTAATACCAGAAGGTTTATGCCCGAGTTAAAACCCCTTCACCGTCTTGTCCTGAAGACGGAAGGGAGGAGCGAGAGAGATGGAGACCTTCTACTCTAACATGCACTGCCTTCCAATCTCCTTCTCGAAATATGATACGCAGTCTCCATCATACACGCTCTCTAACGGATCATCAGATGTCAAATTAAACATAGAGCAGGTAGCCATTTTCCGTTATCCCTAAAAGCTCGATGAGAGGGCTGTACTTGTGTGCCTTAAAATACAATTTACCCTCCAGACATACTTATTTTTGCCGACTACCATAACAGCAAAAAGGCTTAGACAACCCAAGATGCTCTCCCAGTTTTTGAAGGAACACAGACATGGTCATCATATTGAACACCAACCTGTATAATCTCATCATCTTTGGTTGTCATGGTGACGTGTGTATTAGTCAGCCAGTTTTGTTTCGAGATTCTGGAGAGCTGTGTCAACTTGTTACAGGGATATGGGTCTTCATTTTTAAAATCTGTTCGCCGTTTCAATGGGCTCTTTGAGAAAAACTTCAGCGCTTGAATCGTTGAATGAAAGAAAGAATATGGTTTTAAGAAACGTTAATATCTGCATTTTTGGCTCGAGGGCTTTCATAGATGGAAGTATAGACGGTCACTTCTTCTTATATAAATAAAAGACCAAATTAAGTTTGTAGATCCGCTATATTACAGTTAAGGATGGACGTGGGGGCCGATATTATGTTCATTCGTGTTTTATCAGTAATATTTTGATGAGATGAATAACTTTTCAAACAATTAAAAAGAAAAGCAAAGCAGCCAGAGAAAAACACTTGTGTATACCACGATGTCATCGATTTTTTGGTTGCTTACTAACAAGCATTTATTGCTTTCTTAGCTGTCAGGTAAAATAACCACCACTATCAAATACATCTGAACTCGCACGACAGAATTTGTGAGTTTGAAATTTATTCTGTGATAAAAAAAACTTTGTAGAACTTAAACTGCGAAAAGAAATAGTTTTGGCTAACAACGTATTGAACCATCTCGTTCTGAAACTGGATTGCCTCATATCGGATTGTGGACTGCGTGACGGGGGGGGGGGTATGTAGTTCCCAATTTATATGGGTGGGTTTCGATTTTAGAATGATTACAGTAATACAGATGTCCCAAATATGTCTGACATGTCAGTATTATTATGTCAGATAGCGCTCGGTTTCCCCCCGCTCTCGAAACATTGCCTTGTTTCTCCGCTCTCTATATCGCAGCGCACTTAATATTACGTTCGCCCAATTCAAAATGGAAATATAAGGTTTGATTGAAAGGTTTACTGCTTTGAGAGTAACAACGCACTCGCTGCGTACCCTCTTCCCCTCTCCTCATGAACATGGCTTGAGTGGTGAGAAGCCCCCAAGTAATTGTTAGGCTGTCCGACAAGGAAATGATGAAGAGAGAGATGTATAATGCCTTACCTTCCCTCCTTGCCGATAATTGCCTATCAAGCATCGACTGGAGGGAGAAGAAGAAGAAAAAAAAAATCGAGTTTGATTATTGCCTCTCTGAACATCTCAGTCTCAAGACAAAAAAAAAGGAAGAAAGGGAGTAGGATAGCACATGAAAGACGGTAAGGCCTGCAATCTTTGGAGTTAAGATACCTTTTCCCCCACGGCATGAATATCGTTTGCCCAAACAAAATTTGTCGTCCAATATATATTCAATACTGAATTGCACACTTGTGCTGCGACGGACAAGACAAGAATCCCCTCTCGGATAATTGCATTTGCATGGCAAGATCAGGACGCGTGTGGCGCTTCAGCTAGAATTGTCAAAAATACTTTCTCTTTTTCTTGTAGTACACATGTATTTGCGCTTGATTTCAGTAATGGGGTGTTCTAAATAATTGGGACAACAAAGATGAGAGATGCAATAGCTGTAATGATGCTATTTCTATGAATAGATTCAAAATATACAGGATACATGTATCATAAATGCTGTATATCCAGGATTATTCATAATTTTAGCAATAATGATATAGTTGGTTTAAGAATTTTGAGTTCCTGAAGTGAGATTGTCCTGTGGAAGAACGCTTTAAGAAATTAATTCAGGAATTTAGAATGTTCGTTTGACTTCGTCATCATTGTGACCGATGTTGTGTACCGACATGAAGAAGGAAGGGGCGAGATTACGTAAGGGCGAGTTTTATATAGGTGCATTGTTTGGGTCCGAGGGTCACGGTTGATCATAGACTACAGCGCTTCATTGTTTTGTTGGAAAAGAAAAATTCCTTTGAATGTATTTTGTTGAACGAAGTTAATTTATTCTTTTAGTCTTATAAATTATACTTAGAACTTAGAAGTAAATCTAAACTGGAATATTGTGAAGCGACGCACAAAAGCTTGTAAAATTACTGAAATGAAGAAAATAATTAACTGGAACAGGCTTGTCTCCAAATTGCTGTCACACCGTCGTTGTTAGGAGATGGCAGTCTCTTCGATTCCCTCGCATATATTTATACGATTTTTGTTCACGCTTTTAAGTAAAGAGAGAAGGAATGAGGTTGATAATAAAAAGGTTAACACAAGTAAGAGAACTACTGAGAGTTATTGAGATGAAGAAAGGGAACATCCAAGGGGAAAAGGATTGGGGAGATGGTCCGAGTAAAGGTATAAAACTAGGATCGAAGAATAGACATAGAATCTGAGTTTTTGCTTGCAGCTATAGCATGTGAGATGAACCTATGGCGTTAGACACGAGTCAAACCAATTAGAGCGATGGTAGACTTGACCTGAAATGACCTCTGCGATAGCCATGTCCAAACAAGCTGTGATATGTAGGGCGCGACGGCACTACGAGTGCAATTACTGAATGATGGTTCGGCGCACTAGTAGCCTTATCCAAGCACCCAGATTGGATTACCTCACCGTCATCTCCTTCAATTTTTGCCCCAGATCTCGAAAACTTGACCCGAATTCTATTTCTAAAATCGTTCCTTACAGCTGTGATCATCACGCTTAAGATCCGCCCACGATATCTGGTTTCAAATTAAGCCACGGCTAAAATCCTTGTAGAACTGCATGACTTTTTAATACGGGAAAGTCTGAAAGAAAACCAAGGTTGAAGAGACAACCGCTGATTTTTGAGATGGCGAGGATCATTAGACGGTATGTGTGAGATAGGTATGAAGATGCATTGCGAGGTGGAGACGAAGACAGACATGTATGCATTAGACAAGACAGCTCACAATCGAAAGACAGGTCACCCCCCCCCCCCCCCTGCAAAAAATGTAGTGAGATGGGTTCTAAATCATTCGTGCTTCCTTATACAAGACGATATATGTAGCCGGGCAGCTTGTTTCGTAAGCAGGATTGGTTCTCCAATAATTGATAGTTATCCTTCACCTGATGAACTTCGCATTTGTGTTCATGAGAACAATTAGATGATAAATTCACGTTTTGAAACAGGGGCCCTTAACGACAAAGAAAGTTTTGTAAATGCTTTACATTACCGTTACATCACGTTTTGCTTGCATGTATATGTATGCAACTAATGAAAGTAATAGCATTCACTGTTTTGCC